GGTAGGTGGCACACGCACGTTTCTTTGTCGGCTGTTTGATAGCCCTGACATCGGTCAGAATGAGTGCTCGGTGAACAAGCCACAAGCTGTTCGAGACACACCTCTGTCAAGAGTACGAAGAGTGGGTCCAGAACCCTCGACAAAGGAAATATATATATATATATATATATATATACATACACACATTCCGACGAAGAAGTTGCAGAAAGCATCCTCGTCCACCGTGGCAACACGGATTATCTCTTTGGCCTACTGCTGTGTACAGCTCTGCCGATTGAATTTAATGAGCAAGCTTCTTGCATCTCCTTACATGAAATTCCCGCTGACTAAACAGTGCGGCAGCAGTGGATAGAAGCCATTCGGAGGGATTACTGGGAGCCGAACACCAGCTCACAATTACTAAAGAGTGTGCAGTAGGCATTTTAGAGAAACAGAATTCATAGATGGCAAGCGGCACTGCCTAAAAAAAGTTGCGATGCCTTCTGTATTCCCTGAATACCCAGCGTATTTGAGGCCACAACCTCTGAAAGAGAGCAGCTCTGAGAACCTCCTCAAAAGGTACACGTTGCAGAACACAAACAAGGAAAATGAGCCACCACTGAAAAAGAGGAAGTGCTTGTCTGATGAGGAGCAACAAGAGTGGATTCCTAACGTTGTTCAAACATGAAAGGAGGATTCAGAATTAGAACTCCATCAAAAAAAATTCCAGCTGCAGACATCAACCAACCATGTAGCAGGGAGATAACAAAAGAAACATTGGAAATTGATAAAGCAGGTATTGAAATTTCTATGATCAGTCATGGACACCCTATTTTGTCTCTCATAAAGACATTGACAAGGCAACACAGGTGGACGTTGGACTGTCCAGCCTGCTCGCCCCAGAAAGAATCAAGTGGAAGCGAAAAGAGCGAGATTTAAAAAGACAAATTGACAGACGTTGTGGAACTACGGATCGATATAAGGAAGAGCTAAAAAAATTAAGTCTGACTGCCATTTTGGCAGGTTACAGTACATATGGGAACAAAAAAAAAAAAAAAAGACGCCTTTCGGTCGTTTTCTTGTGGGAACAAATCGAGAACTTTAAGCAAAAGAAGTCAGCATGGTCCGAAGATGTGATCGGCCATTGCATGGCATTTTTATACAAAGGTGTATGAGCATGCATGAAAAGAAATGCTTCTAAAGCTGCCGACTGCAAAATTACATCGGGAGCATTTCAGACGAGACTGGTTATAATAATTAAATTCAAGCTCATTTAAAAGTAGAGCTTGAAAAACTTGAGGGGCCACAGTCTAAAGCTTGCTCCTTGATTGTGTATAAGATGAGGATTAAGTCCAAGTTACTATACAACAAGCAACGAGATTGTTTTGTTGGTCATGTCAATATGGCAGTTGCTAATGAGACTGAGCCCGAGCTAGAAAATTCATTGCTTTGCTTTGTGGCCTCTCCACAGCTTACGGGATCACAGTTGCATACTATTTCAATGAGGGGCTCGATGGAAATCAGCTTTCAGCTTTCAAGAAAGTGGAAGAAGCTAGCTTCACCATTCTGGGTTTTTTTCAGTGACAATCACAGTGCAAGTGCTATGAAACATTATCTGGTGGTTTTCTGACATACCGGCCAGATTCAGCACCCATGTGATCCTGACAGGCTACTTTTCTTAAGTTTCGACTACTCTCATGGGCTTAAATATATACGGTCACAGTTCCTTGCCCGTGAGCTTGGAAGCAATGGTGAAGTGTCTTCCAGTTACCTCAAGAAAGTGTATGTAGTTTTGAAATGGTGCTTGACAAAAAAGCACATGTACCCAAACGACTCCGAGAAAAAGAACATGATAAGAGTAGTAGAGGTTTTTCCTCTAGATGTAACGCCAGTGTTAGAATTCCTGAAAGACAAGCAGGCCATGGCAGCCACCCTTCCTTTGCGTTTGCAGGATCAGCAGTTGTGTGCATGAAGAACATATTTATGTGGTTCACCCTGCACGACACCAGCAATAAAGTGCAGCACATTGACGAACGTTTTTCTGATACACGTCATTTTGACTACTGTGATGATCATCATCTAGAGTGGCTCAACGTGACCTTCCCTTTGTAGATTGAGCAACTGAAAAAAAACTCAGCTTTTCCACGTGGCTTCCTGACGGCAGAAACTTATGAAGCTCATCTCTTGACCACTTACTCACTGTCTGCACATGTTCGTCACTTGCTCGTGGTGCAAAAGGTTTCTTTCATGCTTATGGGGAAATTCATAACTGACCCAATAGAAGCACATTTTGGCACATTTCGAAGGTCACTTGGTTGTAATGACCAATTGGATGTCTGCTCTGTCATGTCTGAGTTGGAAAAGCTGCTGCAAACTGGAATTGCTACAGCGTCAGAAAGCAGCACAATGTGCTGCACAATGAACTGCGTGAATTCGGCAAAGGTTTCTTACTGAATGCACTGTGATCATTTGGAAGCTCAGTTGAGCTGCCACCAGAAGCTAGCCACGTACTTTTGGTGACTCAAGGTAGCTAGGGTGCATGTAAGCTTGCCAATGCTGCAGCTTTGATTGATATGTGGGGTTTAACGTCCCAAAACCACCATATGATTATGAGAGACGCAGTAGTAGAGGGCTCCGGAAATTTCGACCACCTGGGGTTCTTTAATGTGCACCCAAATCTGAGCACATGGGCCTACAGCATTTTCGCCTCCATCGAAAATGCAGCCATTGCAGCCGGGATTCGTTCCCGCGACCTGCGGGTCAGTAGCCGAGTACCTTACCCACTATACCACCGCGTGGGGGCAATGCTGCAGCTTTCAGCGACTCTGCATGTTCGTGGCTATATTGCCTTTGTTATCAGGAAACATGTGACTTATTACAGCTGCTGTTATCTGACTTCGAAGCCGCTGTCTAAGCAGGGACTATAGCAGCTGACAGGAAATCAACGTAGGGGCAGACTACTATACCCTTCTGACCAGCTCATCTATGTCTTCGACATCTTGCGCCTATTCATGTAAACTGCTCTCCAAAAGGTGCCAAGGCTGGAAGAGCCACTCAGAACACTTCGAAAGTTGCTATACCCTTGTTCAGTATCTGTGCCTGCCATTGTTGATTTTGGCCTGCTCAAATGCCCGCAAAGTGGCTAGCTGCACCATCAGGACCTGGCTCAGCTTATCTCTTTGAGGTTTATCATGCCACTACTTGTGAATTATACATCTATAGCCACTGACAAAAAAGACATTTACAAGTCATTCTCGCTGTTACAAGTCATTCTCGCTGTTACAAGTCATTCTCGCTGTTAAGCTTTGAACGGGAAGTTTCATATATTTTTGTTACTTTTTTGTGTGTGAGAACAATATGTTTGTGTGCTCTTCACGTGTTACTGAATTAGTTTCCTGACCCCGTGTTTTTTAATTGCGAATGCATTTCTTAGTCCGGCTATGTCAGGCGTCCGGTGGTGCCCACGTGCCAGCAGGTGTTATCTCTCTACTCTCACTCCCTCTCCCATAGCAACAGCTGCGGGCGCATGTGCTTATGCTCGCTCCTAGCATTCAGAGCAGCGGCTACGGGCAGAGTAGCACAGAGTAAGTGAAGAGGAGGAGCCCACAGTGGCGTGTGAGGGCGCTCACAATGTGGAAGCTCAGTAGAGTTCCTGCATGTGTGGAGACAGTGTACTGGAAGGTAGGTGCAGTGCTTCGCTGCTCTTTTTCTCGCCGTTCGCTCTTTCTGCTCCCTGTTCTCCACTCTACCACTCACATGCTCGTATGCACATATAAATAAAGTGATGCGCACGCCTCACTCTCGATCGTTCACTAGCAGATGAATGTGTAAATAAATGGTTACAGTATAAATCCTCGTCTCGTCATTAATTTATGCCATTGAAATTACTACGCCATGTGCTCTCGGCGAAAGAAATGCACTCGCATTTTCTCACGATTTCCTTCGAGGAGGTGGGGACAATTTTTTTACAGCAATTGCACTTCCACTTTCATTTTTGTTGAAACATAGTGTAGGTTTCCTACTGGCAATTATCATTTCTACCATCGTGGTTATCACAAATAAATGGAAACTTAGTTCCACACGGTGCCCACCACAGGGTGTGCTTGTTTCCCAGTCACACAAGTAGTGTTCCGCAAGTACTACTCGTATGTCGTGTACCACTGTGAGTCTTTGCAGAATGGCTGTTTCTATAGTAGAAGGCGCAAAACGAGCAAACATTGGCATCGCGGCACAATTACGGCCGCAAAAACCGCATTTTTGAGCCATCCCCTTTTGAGCGCTCGAACGGTTACGGCGGCCTCGCCATTCATAGAGGAAGAGCTCAAATAGGCCTAATAGAGCTGTGATTCTAGCCATTTAACGTGAGGGGTGCCACTGCGGAAACGAGTGTCGACTCTCGGCAACTCCAGTATTGGTGGTACAGAAAGTATAGAAGATGCTATGATTGTGGGTACCTTGCATGTGCTACAGTGTCTAGCACTGTACATGTGCTGTGCCTTGATGGCAGGAATAGAATGTGTGGTCTGGATTGGGTCTTGTTCTTGACCGTCAGCGGTGGCTACGCTGCAGAATGCCAACACAAGCCCTGATGTTAAGGAGCTTTGCCCCTATAAGGGAGACATTATAGTGGCAGATGCTTGTTAAGCTGTTGAGGCAATCAATCTTCTGTGTTGTTCTGCTTGGCAATTTCGGAGTGGCAGCAGAACTCTCATCATATTTTGAAAAGAAAAGGCATACAATCTTTTCCATTTTATGAATGGTATTATGGAATCTGAGGAGCTTGGGTGGTAGTCATGCATTGTTCGAAGTTTCTTTTATTTGGTTCTCATTAAGCATAATTACTAAGTGAAATTAAATGTCTTGTTTGCAAATCTGCCATAGAGGGAGTATGTGTATTCATACATATAAGTTATGATGTTTATTTTCTCAATACTGATGCATTGTTCTCACTGTTATACTAGCTCATGTGCAGACGAGAGAGCTGAGGCCACGTGCAGTAAATATGTGATGTGGGTGTGCAGAACATCGACTGCCTGGAACGATTGGCCGGTATTCCGGCGGAGGCCATTGTGGAAGCACATGGCACCTTCCACACCTCTCACTGCTTGTCGTGCAACTGCGAGTACTCTCTTGACTGGCTGCGAGGTGAGGATGTCATTATTGGCAACGGTATGTTGAGTGAGTTTGTGTGGCTTATCACAAAATTTACATGGCTTTGCCAAACTTTAGAATGCTTGTGTTTTAATGGAGAGTGGCTTTTGTGTTCATATCATAAGCATTTTAAATTAGATAAACACAAAGTGTATGACTTTCACACATTATATAGAAAAAAAGGCATTCCAAATATGTCACATTTGGCACATCCAACTGTGTTGACCTTGCTGATACTAAATAGTGTCATTGGTCCACTGCAGTGCTTGAGTACAATGATAATTGAGCATAGATTTTCTCAAAGCATTGATGGGATCTGCCATTCAGGCACCCTTTCAAGTGTTCCCAAGATACTTGGAGATGACCAACACGCCAAATAACAGACCTTCTCAAAGAATAAGTTGTGCACCGATCATTCCTGCCAACTGGTTTTCCGCCCTGCACGGAGTGGATTTCTAGGGAGTTTGGCTGCTTTCACCCGCATAAGTGCTATTAGGTCAGAGAAAGAAGACGCTTCAACTCGGCAGTTGTAAATCAAACAACCTTCGGTTTCTATATGCGACGACAGTACCAGATGCGGCACTGTTAAGCCGATTCACAGTGAGAAGGAAACGCTGTTCATGCGCTGGAGTCCCAACTGTGCAAGTCTTCAGCAGAGTGTGTGCTAGCACAGTGAAGGCATTTTAATGATGTGAAACGAGAAAACTTTTTAAATCATCATCATGCAAGCTTGGTACATGTCGCAGAGAGCACACTGCTGTGAGGCACAGTGCTACAGCAGCTCTGAAAACGTGGCACACTGAGTCAAGCCCATGAAACTGTGTTACCATATCAATGAGAACTAACAGACTAGGGAAAGTACAGGGGATGTTGTTAGAACTAATTGTGATGTAACTGTGAAGATAGAAAATTCCACGAAAAGATAACTTGCCATCGACAGGTTCCGAACCTGGGACCTTCGGTTTGCACCCTGCTGGTGGGAAGTTATCTTTTCAGGGTTGAAACAGCTGCGCGATTTGCGCCATTGTGGGCCAAACTTGCTTGGTGCTGGTGCTTGATGGATTTCGCACTTTGAGGGTAAATTCTGGTGCTGTGGCTCGTTAGGGTGCTGATAGGTGAGTTTGGTGTAGCAGGGCCGGTTCGGTGCAAGATGGTGCAGGTTGGCGCACAATGCTCAAATGGTGCAGCTGTTTCAACCCTGAAAAGATAACTTGCCACCAGCAGGGTATAAATCGAAGGTCGCAGGTTCGGAACTGTTTGTGCGCTTTCACTCGCGAATAGAACATATGGTGTGTGGGGACTTATTATCAATTTGGAATTTACAGTTGACTCGTGAAAATTCAAACTCTTATAATTCATACTTTCAATTAATTCAAACAAAACTTATTTTTGCAGTTGACCCTCTATTCTCTGAATGAATTTAAAAGCCTCTTAATCCAAGCTCCATTTTTCGCTTAATTCATACTTTTTGCGGTTTCATCCATTGCCGATTTTGTCGCGGAACTGCGTTCCCTCTCGAATTTGTGTGAGTTCGATAGTTTCTTAGATGAGGCACTGAGGGACAGATTTGTTTGTGGTTTACAAAGACAAGATATTCAGCGATTGCTGTTTGCTGAAGACAAGAAGTTAACCTTTCAAAAGGCCGTCGAAAAAGCTTTAGCATTGGATTCAGCAACAAAAAGTGCAGCAGAAGTGCATGGTTCAACAAGCATCTCTGACTTACACCATGTAACTGCACAAAAGCCGAGGCATAAAGCAGTCGCCGTAAAAGATGCCAGCGAAAAGAAAACGTCAAACATGTGTCGGCGATGCGGTTCTTTTAAGCACGTGAGCAAAAACTGCAGACATGCGTCGGCGACGCGTTTTGGCTGTAGCAAGAAAGGGCATATCCAGCGTATATGTCAGTCTGATAAGAACGCGAAGTTATCTCAGGCACAAGCACGCAGCCTGAAAGTTCTTGACTGGGCCACAGAAATGATGCTAAACGGCATGACGTGCTTGGCAAAAGATGCCATAAATGTACGCCTGTTGATAAACGAAATTCCACTTGAAGTGGAGTTGGATAAGGGAGCAGAGGTATCCCGTAATTTCTCGCAGGCAACAGCAATAATTGTTCCCCTCTTTGAAATTGCGCACGACGAGATTGCGTCTACGCACTTACACAAGTGCATTAGTCGAACCAGCAGGAGTGGCTGAAGTTGTTGTTGAACATAATGGGCAAAGTGTTCTATTACTCTTGTATGTCACTGAGCAGGGAGGACCGGCACTTCTGGGCCGAGAGTGGTTACAGCACGTGCGCCTCGACTGGAACGCTGTATTTTCCTGCAACAAGCTCTGCTCGGCACAGGAGCCGACAAACAAGGAAGCAAAGGTAGAGGTTAGCAAGCGTTTGCAGAAGTCCAGTAACCTTTTCAAGGAAAAATTGCGATGCATCACAGAGGAGAAGGCAGAACTCTTTCTCAAAACGGACTCTCGTCCAAAGTTTTTGAAGGCGCGCAGTGCGCCTTTCGCACTGGTTCCAGCAGTGAAAAAAGAGCTTGGCAAAATGCAGTCAATGGGTGTGATCACACCATTAGCCACGTGCGAGTATGCTACACCAGTAGTGCCTGTGGTAAAGAAAGACTGAAACATCCCCCTATGTGGCGACTACTAGACTGCGGTCAACCCTATGCTAGACACTGATCGCTACCCTTTACCACGTGTTGAAGAAGTTTTCGCTGTACTCAGTGGAGGAAGAGAATTTTCAAAAATTGACTTGAACAGGGCCTATTAACAGGTAGTGCTAGCGGAACCGGCGCGTCGTCTTCTGGCGATAAACACGACGAAAGGACTGTTTCGCCGTAAACCGGCTACCTTTCGGCGTGTCTTCGGTGCTTGGTATTTTTCAGTGAATAATGGACACCATGCTTAAGGGTCTCAAAGGTGTTGCATGCTATTTGGACGATATCCTAGTGACTGGAAGGACTGGAGTCGAACATCTACCGAACTTGGAAGCAGTTCTAACCCGTTTGGATAGCTGAGGAGTTCGACTAAGAGCTGAGAAATGCATTTTTTTCAGAAGGAATTAACCTACTTGGGGCACAAGTTGAGTGCAGATGGCATACATCCCACGACGGACAAGATTGATGCCATTGTAGCCACGCCAGCATCGGAGAACAAGCCGCAGCTTCGTTCTTTGCTCGGAGCCGTGAACTACTACGGAAAACTTCTACCTCAAATGGCTACACTAGCCCATTTCCTGTACAAACTCCTGCATGGCGACCAAGCTTGGGCATGGACCAGCGAATGTCAAACGGCCTTTGACGACATGAAGGCTGCGTTGGTATCCCCAGAGGTGCTGGCTCACTATGATCCGCAAAGACCACTTCAAATGGCTTGTGTCGCATCTCATTACGGGGTAGATGCTGTGCTTTCTCATACTTTTGCTGATGGAACCGTTCGCCCTGTTGCTTATGCTTCAAGGAGTCTGTCCGATGCTGAGCAGAAGTATAGCCAGATCGAGAAAGAAGCATTAGCAACCATCTTCGGCGTTAAGAAGTTTCACTACTATATTTACGGGCGTTCGTTCACGCTGATAACAAATCATAAACCACTGCAGACTATTTTGGGTCCAAAGTCTGGCATACCAACCTTGCCAGCAGCAAGACTTCAATGTTGGGCAGTGACGTTATCTGCCTACACATACACCTTGAAGTTTCGACCGACAAACGAGAATCTAGAGGCTGACTGCTTGTCGCCCTTGCCGGTTCGTCGGGAATCTGCTAATGATGCAGAGGAAACGTTCTACTCATTACGCTTGTAAATAATGCCGGTGACGCACAAAGATATTACACGTGCAACCTCACATGACCAGTTTCTTTGCAGAGCACTTGAGCTCACAAGTATGGGGTGGCCTAACTTTACGGACGATGCGGAGCTCAAGCCTTTCTTCGACAGGAGGACACAGCTGACCACGCACCAAGGCTGTCTCCTGTGGGGAATGCGTGTAGCGGTGCCTGCAAAGCTGAGATCTCTGGTGCTACAAGAACTTCATGACGTTCATCCAGGTATTGTGCGATCCAAGGAGTTAGCCCGCAGCTATGTTTGGTGGCCTTCAATTGACGCGGATCTTGAGTCTCATGTCAAAGGACGCAAACCTTGCCAGGAGCAGCGTAGTGCCCCTAACAGTGCTCCTTTGCACCCATGGTCGTGGCCAACATCCCCTTGGAAGCGAGTACACATCGATTTTGCTGGGCCTTTTCGGCATCACATGTTTCTAGTTGTGGTTGATGCACATTCCAAATGGCCAGAGGTGTGCATCATGAAAAACACTACTAGCACGGCAACCATCGATCGTCTTCGCGAAATGTTTAGCCGTTTCGGTTATCCGGCAACGATCGTGTTGGACAACGGCCCACAATTTAAGTCTGCCGAGTTACAAACGTTTGTTCGAGAGATAGGGAGCGCGCCACGCCACAACAGCGCCTTATCACCCAAGTGCGAATGGCTTGGCAGAACGTTTTGTTCAGTCCCTAAAGACAGCCGTGAAGAAAGATTTAAATACTGGAAACCTGCAGGCTAGCCTTGACAGCTTCTTACTTGCTTATCGGAATACATCCCACGCTACGACGAAAGAAGCGCCGGCTAACCTTATGTTCGGTCGCCGTTTTCGTTTCAAACTGGACATTCTCAAGCCGAAATTGGAAGAATTAGTTCGCTACCAGCAATTTATTCAGTCCAGCCTATACAGCTCCAAAGCCCGACAATTTGCTGTAGGCGATGGTGTTCTTGTTCGAAATTACAGGAGACCACCCAGATGGCTTCCGAATACTGTATTGCGGCAGAAAGGACCTGTTTTGTATGCCGTTAAAGTACATGCCACGGGTCCTGGCCGTATGGCATCGTCACCAAGATCAGCTTTTCATGGGTGCAGCTGACATTTCCGATGATGAGGAGAACAAGGACACCTTCTAGGAGTTCTCGGATGCCACTGCGGAGACACCTACGGCAGCGCCCGCAGCCTCCGAGGCATCACCACCAGTACGAAGATATCCAGTACGTAGTGGACGAGCGCCAGATCGCTACACGCCATCTTAATTTTGTGTAACTGTAGCTCCCTACAATTTAAGCGGGAGGAAATGTCATGTATGCGATAGCGCCACATATTGTCGATAGAGTGGCAAGCCCAGCTGCCAGTAATCATGTGACCTGACTGCGATCGGTATAAAGCTGCATGTCTAGGCTGCCGCCTAGTCTCACCCTTTTCATTTGCTGTTGTACCGTCGTACTTGCGACAATATGTAGCAATAAATTGTTTTTCTACTCTACATTCGTCTCCGAACATTGGACAAATCTTTGAAACATAGGACACGCATGGTAAACCGTGATGCTTCTCAAGCGGTATAGAGAGCTTTGTGCTGAAGGCACATGTAGCAAAGAAGCAGTTGGCAGTTCACAAATTTTTTAAAAGGTCTGATTAGTAGTAAATTGGTGATAAACTTAAAGACCTTACATTTCTGCTTTCTGTTCATTTTGTGCAGTTAGGTTTTAGAATCGCCTAAAAAAATTTTTAAATCTGATAAGATCAATTCCTAAGCATAATGTGTGATGTCAGCTCATCTAGTCATTTATCTGAGAACTTTTAATAGGTCAAACTTCTTTATAATTCAAACAAAATTTAGAGGTCTCTTTTAGTTTGAATTCACGAGAGTCGACTGTATATAAGAAGAGCTCGTCGGGAGCATCCATATAAGTTCTATTGCAAGGATTAGGCTATTGTACAATTTAGCTGAGTGTTTTAAAAAGGCAATATTGAACAAATTTTGCTCTACAAGTGTTTTGAAGGGAACTAAGTTTGCTCTGAATGTTCTTACTGCTCTAAACTTGCTCAAAAAGCCCCTTCTGACTGCTCCGAGCCTGCTCTAAAAGGTCTCTCTGGCTGCTACAAGCCCCTGCAAAAAGTAATTTTGCCTGCCTGCTCCCAAATCTATGTTTGCTGTTCCACCTCTGTATTTTCATATACTTTTCATTCTTCACATTACAACTACTTTTAATAACATCCCCTATACACCTCCCCTGGCGTTATTGTCTGTTGGTTCTCATTAATATGGTGTCTAACATATAAAAATAGCCCTTAAGTTTACACATGCTAATAAAGAAAATTCATAGATAAAGCAAGCTTTGAGCGGTACACTGCAGCTCCTAATTGTGGTTCTTTTTTTTGCACACCTTCTTTTGATCATTCTCGTGTGGTAGGCCGAGTGGCCCTTAAGTACGTCAAATTCTCACATTAAGTTGCGCTCATTGAACACAATGAAGAAGTACACAATGAAGTGTACAGGAGCACCAGTTGTTGTGAAAAGCTGTTGTAGATGAGGGTGCATTGCTCAATTTACGAAACAACATTTGCGATATCATGCTTAGGACAGTAAAAGGGGTCAAACTTTGTTGGTGATAGATTGATATGTGGGGTTTAACGTCTCAAAACCACCATATGATTATGAGAGACGCTGTAGTGAAGGACTCTTGAAGTTTGAACCGCCTGGGGTTCTTTAACGTGCACCAAAATCTGAGCACATGGGCCTACAGCATTTTCAAACGTTATTGGTGTGTTAGGATTAATCAATGTATGGTCTGCGAGGTGTGAAGCAGCTGCCTGACAGATTGACTGCCGCAGGTCTTCGGATATTCATTCTCTGAAATTATGTGCAGTGGTCCCCAAAATGATGATCTCTCATTCATTTATGTGCACATTATGCTAAATATCTTATTGTACAATATCATTTATATGGACACTCTCGGCATGGCTTTACTGTTAGAGCTCGGTGTTGCCATGATGCTTCGAATACAGCGCCAATCAGTAACATCACCCCGTGTATCGAGTGTTTTGTGTGAAAATGAAAGCTTGCATTAGTGGTGTTGAATAGAACTCATCTTCTGGAGAGGAACGGCTGTTCCTTGTCATGTGAAAGGCCCATAGCATGAAGTGGCAGCTGCTTGGCTCTGCACTTTCGCTCAGCCGAGTGCGTTCGCACAAGCGCATCATTACAGCTTGCAATGAAGTTATAAACAGCACAAACATGGCTTCATTTAATGCAGCAGTCATTTTTTCTTCGATTACGCCAGTGCCTTCCAGAGGTACCCAAGGTTGGATGCTACAGAAGTTAGCTGGTAGCCTTATTTCGCATAACATTCCACCTTCTTGCTATCGCATTCATTGTGTCACAGTTGCAGTGAAATTGTGTTTGTTTAGCTAGATAAGGTCTGGACATCGAACTTAGTTTTCTCTTCTTTCTTTCTTGGCACCTAATAACACAATGTTCACAACGCTGAAATCTCAGTAATCTCTGCTTTCAAAATTGCATGAAAAGTTGGGTAAATGGTTGCACGAAACTGCGTTTGTGTTTCTGATGCAGAGCAGTGCACAAAAAAAGTGTGCACAGCTCACACTAGTGGTGCAAGGTTGAAATCATCAGCGCAGCTAGTGCTCGACCTAGGAAGTTTCGCTAGTTATGCCAAGCTTTTGTTATAGAGGCTGACTATGGCTAGGCTTGGCTATTTATATCGGGTTTCAGTCGGCCTTCGCTCTGTGCATGTGTTACACAGTTTTTGCGGTTGCATATTATGTCACTGGCTGTTACAGGGTGTCTTGTAGTCAGCTGACTACTTGTTACTTATGCGATGTGAGTTTAGTCACGTGACTAGTTCAGTGATTTTCGGTCACACGAGTAGTTCTTACGTGATGTTAGGTTATTTAGTCACGTGACTTGTTACCTGGTGTTGCGCAGTCCTAGCCACGTGACTACATTTTTGTTATGCGATG